GTGTGTGTGTGTGTGTGTGTAACGTTTATATATTGGATCGGATTTCCTACATTTTTCAACTGATTTCAAATAAAACTTCACAGGACTACATAAAATTACCTTGTGGTGGTTCTAACAGCGCCAAAATGGGAAAAAATATAATTGTTTTTTTGCACAAAATCAATTTGGAAACACGATTAAGAGACATCGTGAAAATGGAAGGGGACAACTTACATCGGGTTGTTTGGGTGTGTGGGTTCCTTTAAATATGGGGAGCGGATTTCCTATTTTTTCAGCCGATAAAACAAAACTTCACTTTTTTTTTTTTTGGCAGGTAGTGTTTCTTATTCTCTTGCACACTTTTTTCTTTATTTTTAACATTCAGAATGCTTTTAAAAATTCCATTTACAAGACAATTATTTATAATACAATTCTATTCAATCAGGAGACTCATAACGATTGAAAACAATGTTTTGTTTGAGTTTGGGTTTGACTAATTCGTAAAAAAAAAAAAAAAACTAATTAAGACATGCGTGTCCGTCAACCTTAAACAATAATCTAACGATCTCTACTGATTGTACGAATACAAACATCGGAATAAATACTTTATCTTTAGGGAAAGATAATGAAATCTAAACATACACAAGTCCTAAATAAAAATAATAACCGGAACGGCAAACTACTTTAAATACACACGGTGTCCAATTTTTTTTACTGTATTCAATAAGTAAAAATCATAAATTGTAAAAGATTATTATTACAGAAAGGCTACTAAATGAATAAGATTTGTTAGATCATAATTAATAAACCCAAATAAAGTTAATATTTTTTTTGTATTAGAAACAACGAGTGGAAAATATATTCAAATCAGAATTCTAATTATGAATCACCACAAGCAAAATATGCAATTTTTTTTACTGTATTCAATAAGTAAAATCATAATTTGTAAAACTAAAAGATTACAGATAGGCTACCTACATTTTTCAACCGATTTCAACAAAACTTCACTTTTTTTTTTTGGCATGTAGTGTTTCTTATTGTCTTGCACACTTTTTCTTTATTTTTACATTCAGAATGCTTTAAAATTCCATTTACAAGACAATTGTTTATAATAAAATTCTGTTCAATCGGTAGAGACTCATAACGATTGAAAACAATGTTTTTGTTTGAGTTTGACCAATTCGTAAAAAAAAAAAAAAAAAAAACTAATTAAGACATGCGTGTTCGTCAACCTTAAACAATAATCTTTGTCAATTTTATTTTTCAGTCTTTATGATGGTGGATACTTGATCTATCTCTTATTGTTATATCCCCGGGCAACGCCGGGCTACTGCTAGTATATATATATATATATATATATATATATATATATATATATATATATATATATATGTGTGTGTGTGTGTGTAAAAGGAATAAAGACAAAAAGTAAATTTTTCTTTACCAACGCGTTTTGTCCTCTGATTCAAGGGTTTTATTTTGCAACATGTATTTATAAATATGAATAACAATAACAACAATTACAACATTTTCTCACGTTTATTAGACATTAAATTACATCACTTAGCACCTTCCATAGTTTACCTTTACTTTCACAGTTATCCTTATGGATATTTTTGAGCGTTTTTAAATTTTAAAAAGCTAACAAAATATTTACTTTTGATTATAAAAATATTATGTAAAATAAAATTTTTTACATTTACCTTGATAAAGTCCATCAGAGGGTGAAATGTGTCGGCTAAGATAAGTTTTCCTTTTTCTCCTTATTTATATTGTCATTTTACATATATATATTTTAGTTATATCTGAAATTTTGCACCTTATAACGTGGGACGGGGGCGGTGGATAAGAATAGTTAGGAATGTGTGGAGAGCCATGTTCGCATGTGTCCTGAAGGGACGCGGTACCTAGAGGAAGAAAAACGATATGCATACTTCTGTTTATAAATACACGGTAAGATAAAATCCTTACACTTACTTTGATAAAGTTCATCTGCGGACGAAGAGCAGACGTTCGTAAAGAAAAGTTTCCCTTTTGTTTTTATTCATATTGTCTTTTTATTTTATTTACATCTAAATTTTGCACACACACTGGCACACATATGAATACCATATATATATATATATATATATATATATATATATATATATATATATATATATATATATATATGGTAGGAAGTTCCAAATGTATTAAGTCATTTTCATTGATAATATTTATATATTTGTACATAAATTTATTCAGCCATGTACCATTTCGTTCCACTACTTTTCGCCATCTTTGAGACAGCTTCACGATTCCAACCTCCAAGAATTGTTCTAAGCTAAGTAGTTTTAATGAAGTTATTCCCATTAAGAGATGTTTTTTGTTGTGATCGAAATAAGCCACAATAAAAGAGTGCATGCTCAGCTGAGTATGGCGAGTATCGTCAGAGATCCCAGCCAACCTGTTCCAATTACAGCCGGGTCTGACGTGAAGTCAATCGTTGTTCTGATGCAAGACAACACCCTTCCGATTCGCCAATGCTTTTCATCGGTTGCAACCTTTTATGTGTTGCAATTGGGAACAGTACTTGTTCAACACCTTATTTTGCAGAAGGATCTCATAATACACAATGCTCTTCCAGTTCCACACAGCATCATCTACCGATGCATATTGGCTTTTAGAGTTGATAACGAAGGCCCATTTCGTTTTCAGAAATTCACTTTTCATCACCTGTGATCATTCTTTTAAAAAAATGAGTCATTTCTTTTGCTTTTGAATCGCTTATAGAAATGCGATTCCTTCATATTTTTTTCCGTTAAATCTTGAAGCAGCCAAACCTCGTTAAGATTCACCTGTCTATGGCTTTCAAATACTTTTCAACGCTCATCTCAGATACGTGGAATATCTGATATGAGCTGAAGTCTCGTATCGTTTGACCTGAATTATTTTGAATCAGTGTTTCAGTTTGGTTATCATCAATGACTGCTGAAACGTTCTCAATCTTTTCAATGAAAAATTACACTTCTGAATTCTTACAATCAGTAATCTAAGCTATGACACCATTTCCATAAACAAATCATTTTTTTCTTTTTGTACATTGCTTTTTGTTTTTGAAAAGAACATCGAATAATGAAAATGCATCTCATTTTTCTCCATTTCCACTTTTAATGTAAAAACATTTCACATTCCCGTTCCAATCTCATCCTTTTATATAAAATTCTGTGACTTCCGTCCATCCGTCCTACACACCCTCTAAAATAGCCATGCATTAAGCAATCGAAACCAAATTTTGGAGAAAAGTGCAAACAAGTAAGGTGAGTACAAAGTACAGTTGGTTTTAATACGTAGCTTAATACAATAAATTTTCGTTGATTTTGGGGGAAGAATTAAAAGTTTTATTACTTAACATAGAAAATACTTCCACTACTTCAAAAACAATTTAATGATTAAAATAACAAATACTGTTTTTTGTATATCTTTTCTTTAAGTTTTTATATACAAGAATCAAGTTTCCATTTCGCACTGCGTTTGCAAGAACTATAAACAAATCACAAGGCCAAACCCTTGAAAAGGTTGAAATTTAGATCCAGAAAGAAGTATTTACTCATGGTCAGTTGTATGTTGCATGCTCAAGAATAAGAAATCCTTAGAATTTATTCTTCGCTGTTGACAAAAGAAAAAAAGTAAATTTTCTTTAAAAGTATTGCTTACCTATAAAATTAAATTAAATGAAAAATTATTAAACCTATTAAAGTAGGGTTTTTTGGCAAAGTATTTTCCCAAACAAATCAGCTTATTCAATTTTAATCGATTGGTTTGCGAAATTGAACAAAACGTAGAGTATATAAATCTTGACAAAAAATGTGCTATGGTCCAATATCCTCGCACCACAGTTATGGTCCAAGGTTAGAACCAAGGAAGAACAACACCAACACAAGAGTAGAATAACAAAGATATATTACAACAGAAATATAGTACAAGAAGTTGAAGGTGTTAGTAATGACTGTCCGTCTGGTTTAGAGTAAACTAATATTGTCTCGACTCGTTGCAACATTCATTGTATTTAATATCCTACCCACGAGGAATATATGTGGCACGAGGCCGAGATTAAAGTGGGTTTCTCCGGACCCGTAGGCTCGGGCAAAAATATAGCCTTTGAACCCGCCTAGACGGGTTCAGAGCCTGTCTACCTCCCCGGACGAAACCTTGCCCTTCGGCAAAGCTTCGTCCGGGTTCCTCTCTGCCAAAGCAGAGAGTTCGACAGTCATGAACTGGTGCTCGTTGCACCATTCATTCATTATACCTCTTGAGAGGCGCAGTATATATAGTGTCAGGAAGAGTCAATTATCGTTATAGGTAAGTTCCCTTAGCAAAATGTTGGCGATAACTTCAACAATACTAAATGCTGTGAGGTTACTTTGATACTGTAAGATTCTTCTATGGAAAAAACGCGTTCAATATTCATAAATTTCGGTCACGTGGGAAACGAAATCGCGTGTTCAAATGCCACCCATTGAAAAACATCAGGAACTTTTGGCCCACTACAACACCCCCCCCCACACACACACACATAATATATAACCGTTTTCTTTTACTTATTTATCTCCTAATTTTCTTCCTTCATGTACAAATCTCGCGCCTTCATTTTCTTGCTTATCTCACTGTCTTCCCAATTATCAATAAGATGTGTAACTGCCTCTAAATACTAAGTTATGGGGATTGGACAGATACTACACACTGATCCTGATCCTCGGTAGTAAACATAACAGACTTACGAGCAAGGGAAATACTATTATAGATAGGTCATCGCACAATTACAAACTACAGATACTTGATATATATTCCTGTAAAGTGCCGCTCCTCGTCTGTACAGTTCTAAAATCTACCTTTCCAAGTTAGACACAAATTTAAGAAAAGTACAAGATTCATTACACTCTGGGGAGAAAAAAGGGAGATAAACTAAAATGAAGACATGATATTGAAGACGTGGAAAGAAGGAAGTAAATTCAGCAAAACTGCACAACCATGTAAGTTATATGTTCAATAAAGAGCGACGGATCGTAACATCAATGAATTTACACTGTGAGACGCCGGAGAAAAGGGAAGAAGAAATAAGTTACAGGTTGTTTGGAACGAATTTCTTTACTTGTTCTTGCTTGAATGGCAACACCTCTCATTCGTTCTCGCTGATTATCGTTATTCCAACCGCAAAATATTTTTTTTGCTACTTCCTGCCAAAGTTTGTGCCAGAATTTTATATATAAAAAAAGAACAGGTTTTCTTTTTAAAAATGCTTTCCCTCCTGAACTGCATCCAACAAGATAAATCGATTTGATGTCATACGCCTTGTACAGTGTATTTAATGCTTTAGCCCAGAAACCAAAGCTGAACTTTGGGTCATCACTTACAAAAGACTATTGGAAATTCGCCTGCAGACAAATTTACTAGCAAACGCATACACACAAGCGGGTGAGTGTGCACGGGTGCGCGCGTACATACACACACACACACACACATACACACATACACACATATATATATCACTTTAAACATTATTTTTAGTGGATACTCGTATTTGAGTAGACGCTCCGTTTATTTATTAAACAGTATCTTTATTTTATTTTCGTCTACTGGCCTGAATGTTCGAGAAATCTTATTACAAAAAAAAAAAAAAAAATGCACTCTCCGATAGTATTTGAACCTGTGTCCCCCAGGGCAAAGGAAGCTACCGTTAAGCCCAGCACGCCTTGGCCACGAAAAGCAGTCGGTCAGGCGAAGCTAAATTTAGTCCCTTCAAGCGAAGTTTTCATATCTACACAATTCATACCGTTTACAATGATAATATATATATATATATATATATATATATATATATATATATATATATATATATATATAGATAAGGGTATATTTTTGTATATCAGAACAGGATTGAGGAAATTGCAAGACTAAATGGAGGAAAAGGTTATTTTGACGCGTTTCATCCGTTAGGACTTCATTGGACTAGGTTTGTTGACGTTGTTATGACTACACATGCGCATGAACGAAAGGTGCTGGTAGTTTCAAAATTTTAAAGAATTTTTTTTTTTGCAGTCTAGCCAAATTCATTTATATGCTTATTCTTTTTCTTTCCATCATATTTGTTATTAAATATCCGACATTGTGATAACAGAAATTCTGCCAAGAATGGTGAAATGTTGTAAGAACCTGGACGTAAATTGACTGTGGCTGAAGTTGCGATTAAAGCACTTTCTAGACATTTTCGCCTTAGTAAATTATTTTTTCTTTTAATTAGAGTAGCATTCTCTATGTCAAAATTGTCGTCAGTTTCGTTACGGTGAATAAGCAATGTGTTTTGCGAGCTGTTTTTTTTTTTTTTTTTTTTTTTAATGTCACCTTTGTCGTTTTTATAAACTTCTTGAGGTTCACCAATATATTCTTTCTGGCAATCCTTGCATAATCATATTCAATGCAAAACAAAAGGTACATAAAATATTACAAAATCGAAAAGCTGTCCTTCCTGACAAAACAACGAATCCAAAAAATATATTATTCTACTCACTAACTCTATTACAACTACAGCTGAAAAGAATTTATCTAAACTCAACATAAAATTTGTCACAACTACATCTACAACAATAAAAGAATTGATCAATGCAAAACAAAACAAGTCAAAAATTAAAGGTAGAGTAAATTACTCCTTTGAATTTTGGCTTCTTGTTTTGTTTTTGATACGTATATATTGTTGTATGTTTTTGATCCGTGTATACGTGTATATTGTTGTATGTTTTTGATCCGTGTATACGTGTATACGTGTATATTGTTGTTTTGTTTTTGATCCGTGTATATGTGTATATTGTTGTTTTGTTTTTGATACATCTATATCAGTCAACTGCTGATGACCCCTGAAGAGTGAACGGACGCATCCGTCTAAGCATCTCTGGAGTCGGGATGCGATAGGTAACATCAAACAAACTTTACTCCTCTCTCTCTCTGTCTCTGTCTCTGTCTCTCTCTCTCTCTCTCTCTCTCTATATATATATATATATATATATATATATATATATATATATATGACGCAAGTGTGCGTAATTGCATATTCGATAATCAAACTCGATGCACTAGTGAAATCGCCTTCAATTTTGCCAACCTACCTATGCATAAGATGCCAATGTCAGGTGCTCGCAGATGAACAGATATATTTCTGGCTTTCATTCCCAACGCAGATGGCACTGTGCTGATGTCAAACTCAGGAAGAAAACTAAAAGCTTATTAGACAAGATAGTAAAAGAAAGCAAGTAATACTAAAGGTAAGAAGACAGACTATGATTGTCAGTACTTGTGAGCTACGGAAGCCATTTAGGTACATCAATTTAACTTCTCACGCAAAATGTGACACAGAAATCCGAAGGTGCAAAGCGGAAATTACTTCTCATAAACTAAGCGTAATAGTTAAAAACTAAGCTAAAAGTAATAAGAGAGAGGAAAATGTCTGTAGAAACAAAGAGTACTGAACTGATATGTAATTATCTAATCTCCTGTATGAGAGTGAAGGCTAGCCAAGCTCTTCACGCTTGAATAAGTGACTTGAACCGATAGAGTTCAACTTCTACCAACGAAGGATAAGAATACTATAGACAAGTCATGTAAGTAAATAAGAAATTTCAAGGAATATAGGAACTACAAGAAAACCTATACTTACAATCAAAAAGAGATTAAATTTCTGGGAAAGAAAAAAGAAAGAAGGCCTAGTGAATTTACTACTTATAAGGCATATTGAATGAAAAAGAAAGCGAAAAAGCGAATAAGGTACTTAATTTATTTGAATGAATGGCTGCTAGAGCAAAACAAATAAAGACGGTAAATGGTAAAGTAGTTACTTAAAGCAACAAAAATGCAGGAAGTTGTCGCGAACTATAATTGCCTAGCTTCCATAAAACAAATCAAGGAATCTGTGGCAAGTTACAATCGCTCACCTTCTGAAAATCGTAACATGCTGGTTTTTCAACAACTTATTTAGATAAACTTAGATAACTTAAATAGAAATCTCCACCTGGGTGAAAAGTTTATTCCACCAATCATCCAACTGATGAAATCTGCCTTGAAAATCAGCTTTCAAAATTCTAACGTCTTTCCAGATTTCGAAAATCGACTACTGGCATTGATGAAAAATACACAATAATCTTGGCATTTCTTTCTGCATTTCCCTTTCTTTTGTTCGACACTTTTCTCTCTGACCACCTTTCTTTCTGCTGCTACTTTTATTCTATTTCTCCATATTTTGAATTTCTTTCTAGTTTTTGTTGTTTTTTCTATCCTATTTTTATTTCTCTTCTCTTTCATCTTTTCCTTCTCTCTTTTTAGACATTTCTTACTCAACTCTTTCTCCTGCTTTATCCTTATATTACTTTTTCCTTTCTTTCTCTCCTCTCTTTGTTTCAGTCTTTCTTTGGCTCCTCCCTTACTTTTCCTTCCTCTTCTAGAGAATCTTTCATACTCCCCTATCCACTCAAAACGTTATTCAAAATGGCCACCAAGAACGCATTTCTAACCAATGCAGAGATGCCGATCGAACTGCACCCGAAAAACAGAAGCGGTCGACTCGTTCGAATAATTCAAGTAGGGCCGCAACCCCTGCAATTTTCTGCAGTCTTGGCTGTAATTAAGGAGTGCCAAATAAATGAGGGAAAAGCGTGGAGCCGCTCTGAAAACGGAGGAAGACGGAGGATTATTAGGAGAACGGGTAGATGGGTGGGATGAGAAGGGAATGTCGAACACCATTTCTGGGAGATTGGAGTCGTACATTCTTAGACAACCATGATTGTTCTTTGATTAAGTGCTGATGATTACTAGACCAACTCTCTCTCCCCACCTCTCTATCACACTTTTTTTCTCTCTCTCTATCCCTCTCATTTTTCTCTTTGTTTTTATTTTATACTTCTGTTACTATTTATCTTTCTTTCCTTCTCTGTCGATATCTTGACATACTTTATTCATATCTATCTCGGTCTGTTTATTATCTATCTATCTATCTATCTATCTATCTATCTATCTATCTATCTATCTATCTATCTCAATCAATTCGTATATTATGATACCTTGTTTTTATCGTTAAAGTTTTTTTTTTCTCTTTCTATCTCATTACTTCTCTTGAATTCCAGTTTTCTTTCATTCTTTCTCTTTTTCTTACTCTTTCTCTCTTACTGTCTCAATTTAATTCCTCTCCTCCTCTCACCTTTGACTCATTTATCTACTGGCCTCAAAACGGTATTCACAATGGAGAAAACAGTCATTCGACTTCGGAGCCATTGAGCTGTGTTCGAAACAAAAAAATTATCTTTTATTTTTGCATAAGAAATCTCCTCTCGGGATAGGCACTACATAATTCTTGTCACTTCTACGAAGCAATACCTCCATTTATTTTAATATCCATGAAGTAAAAATATCTGTTTTCCGGGTGATATCTATCAATCTGTCTGTTCGCATACACACGCATAGACAGAGATAGTGGGGTCTGCAAGTTTTTGGTTAGCATGGTATTGACTTTGGACCATTGCATACAATTAACTAATGATCAACAGCCCCAAACCCATGCATATATATATATATATATATGTGTGTGTGTGTGTGTGTGTGTGCGTGTAGATACTGAAAAGTTCAAAGTACCACTTACTTCCCAGAAATCTAACCAAATGACAATATGTTTATATATATATATATATATATATATATATATATATATATATATATATATATATATGAGAGAGAGAGAGAGAAAAAAAGAGTGAGAGTGATAGTTAAATTGTCGTCTAAATTACGCAAACATGAAAATAATATTGAAATCTCATTTTAACAGATATATTTACCAAAATGTCACAAAAATATCTTAAAATACTAAAGAGTAAATTTATTGAATAAAATCGTCATTGGCCTCTAGACGACTTCAGAATCTCCTGCAACTCTTCTGGATGGTCTCCTTGTTTAAGTTGATGAATGATGCCATAATGCTTGCCTTCAGTTCATCTTTGGTTTTACAAGGAGTTTTGTTGGTCTCTCGCTCAATTGCACCCCCACACATAATGATCAAAGGATTTGCAGTCTGGAAAGTTAGGTGTGATGTGGCCGTAGAAATTGTCTGAGAGCCATGACTGTGTTCTCCTGCTTGTGTGTCATGGTGCAGAGTCTTGTAGCCAGACACAGGATCTTCCAACAGCCACCCGCTTGACCCAAGCCAGCACTACCTCCTCAAAGCACTTGATGTAGACCACCGTTTTAAGTCTGAGGCCCTGTGGGAAAATGGATGGAGGTATAATGTCGCATCTCTAGTGATCACTCAAAACGTTTCCTGTTCTAATTTAATTTAAAAGTATTTTTTTTAATTCATAAATCATAAAGCGTCTAGAAGTTAAAGGGAAATTTGGTGTCCTGCCTTCATTTTCTCTTCTCATAAACTTTCAAAATGGTTCTCACATTTATAAATTACACATGAAATTTGAATGAGAAAATGCTACAAACAAAGATGATTTGTGAGTGTTTACGAAAATGATAAAATTGTTGTCAGCACAGGAAGGAGAATGTTCAGTGGAGTTCGTGTACTCTTGATCTTTGTGGTGTGCCTTACACTGGCAGGCCGGTTACTGTCGGAAATAAGGATAAGTGTTGATTATAGATGACAGAAAATTCAAAATTTGCAAAACTGTGAAAGCCTTCAGGTCATCCATAATGATGCCTGCAATTTAGCGCTGCCTCTTGACATTCAAAGGTCCGTGGAAAGTGTGTTCCAAGAATGCTGACAGACTCTATGAAGAGAAAGCACGTTGTTTCCCCACATGCACTTCTGGAGTTGCAATCAAAAGACAGCGATTATCTAATGATGATGAGGTTAAATGCTTATGTGACAACTGAGAAGAAAGTATACTATATAAAGGTCAACATTTGGAATTGTGTCATGGTTTTTGTTCTTTTGTGTTTACCTCTGTTTTAATTAAAGAACAGGGATTACTATTTTTACCAACCTTCGTTTACACACACACATGTTTCCGTTTCTGGGTATAAAAATTATCCTTGTGTTTTGCATATCCAAGCCCTTTCGGCAATTCTTTTAACCATTATCAAGGATTATCTTTATTTTTAACTGAAAGTATGGATTTTTATGTATGCATCTGGCGTTATAGGAATATTTGGTCCAGATAAAGTGTTCAGTTTGAAATTCCAGTCATCTGAAGAAGGCCGGAGCATACAACGGCCAAAACGTCGTGAATATGACAAAAATGATTCGAGTTTCTAGTCGTTGATGGGTTCGCCCCATGTATTCAGCTTCGTACTAACATTTGAATTTATATACGATAGAAAACTATTTTGAAAATAGGACAAAACGTATTTGACAAATAAAGGAAATTCTGAATTAGTCCCCAAAATTAATACGCAACATGGCAGTAGAAAACCTGATATAACGCAAGCCGACACTCCATCAGCCAGTGTTTGACGTTTCCCGGCCAACCACAATCTTTTTAAATAAACGAGACACAGATTGGGACTGAACACTATATGTTCTTTGAAGCGTTTAATCTTAGACTCATCAAGGAGTTTGATGACATTTATAGGATAATCATTGTCACAAAATACATAATGAAAGTTCTCCAATTCTTAATCGAATCTACAGGGAGAACAAATCATCAACGCGCGATGAAATAAGTCAGAGATCAGGTTCATCTTACGAGACTTAGGGACAAAAGAATTCCAGTTGGTGTGTAGAGCTGTAAATGTCAGTCAGTTATGTACCATGCGTGATAATCGTTAGGCGATCATGTATCGAAAGATACATGACTAACGAGGCAGATTTTTCCCATAGTAGGTTGCCATTTCTTTCTGCGGTAGATCAGTTGCCATCCAAAGCTATAGAATCCGGTCTGTCCTGCTATTTACCCAGAGCTGGGTGGCGAAGAACAGGATTCATACCTTTCCGAAGGGCATTAGCACGTAAGTGAATGTTACTGATAAACACTGGTAATAAGCAAACCACATTTAGGTTCGACCAGTACCTCCAAGAATATATATATATATATATATATATATATATATATATATATATATATATATATAATAAAAAAGTTAATGGTCAGAGTTGAATTAGACCAGGAAACAGTAGTATCAAAAAGAGCTCAATACACGTATAAAATTTAACATATTGAGTTTTTAAGTATAAAAAATTAGATCAACCGATGTTAATGATGTTTTGCTGCACGTTAGATTTGAAATTTCTGGCGTTTTGTCATTTTATTGTTGTTTCGAAATTACTAGTACAGTTGTAGCTTAATTTAATTGTGTTTTTATTAAATATTTTATGTAATTATGGGGGAAGTGTTTAGTAAATAATTTGAAAAATATTTTCCCTCTTTTACACTTGAGCTGTTAATCAGAAGCGGGTGTTGGGGGTAAACCAACATTGATAAATGCAACTATAGAAGTAAAACTGCAGAAGTAAAAGTAGATATCCATTAGATGGAGTTTGCTAAACTGATGCAGTAATTTACAAAGCAGAAGTAATAGATGCAAATGGTCAGAAAAATATATGCATAGGGTGTACTAAGGTCGCTTTAAGAAGAGGTTATATAATCACAAGTCATCTTTTAAGCTAGAAAGTCTTAGGGATTCTACTAGACTAGGCAACCATGTGTGGAAATTAATGGAAACAAATAAAAAAAGATCCGATTGTAAACTGCAATTTTTTTTTAAAAAGCCAAACTTTACACCAATTATAGTAATATCTGCAACATTTGTCAACAAGAAAAGTTAGCTATAATAATATTTTCACACCAAAAAATACTTTTGCATGACAGATCGGTAATTATGACTCGTTGCATACATAGTAAAAAGTTCTTTTTGAGTTCATATGAACTGGGATGAAAAGAAAGTATGTCCATTTCATTTATCCTCCCGATGCATTTCTAATACACTTGCTTTTCCCCTCCTCCTCCGTTTTTACCACACCTCACTTCATGCACTTCTTTATTTTTAAATAATATAGCGTTCATTAAATTTAAAAAATAAATCATTAGGAAATCAATTGAACGAAATCGCCTGAAGATACCGAAAAGTTGAAACCAAGTTGAATATGCTGATCTCCTAATTATATATATATATATATATATATATATATATATATATATATATATGCCTTTCAGTGCATATTTTTTATCCGTGTGAGAAACCTTTTGTTCATATTTTTTGAAGTGTTCCAGACAAATAACTATCAGCAATCCTTACATATATATATATATATATATATATATATATATATATATATATATATATATATATATATGTATGTATGTATGTATGTATGTACAAACGATTTTGATTAAAATGAACTAAGGACAAGGTTTGTTGGGGTTTTTTTCCAATTTTTGAATAAAGTGTTGAGTATTGTACTCAAAGTTGTGGATACACTGTCCGAAATTCATATTTTGTTATTTAGTTCATGTACTTTCCGCTATTGCAGTCATTATCAAGATAATAAAGAAAGCAGATCTAAAAATAAAATAAAAAATTAAATAAAATACATAAATTCTTTAGAAATTGCTTTGTTTAACTTTCGGGTAGGAAACTGAGCAGATATGACTTTCGAGAAAATATGAGCGAGTGAATATGCATTGTCACATAGAACCTTACTTAGCTGTGAACCTCTTCCATAGAAGTCAAAACACGCTCGATCAAATGGGGGTTTCTCTTGTTCGAATCACGGTGGATGGTATATTAGTTATGGTAAATTTTCTCGTGCGCATGACGGTAGACGAAATAAACACTGTTTAAAAACTGTGTATCTATTCAAATACGGGTATCCACTAAAAATAACGCTTCAAGTAATAATAATAATAATAAAAAAATAACACACACACACACACACACACACACACACACACACACACACACACATGAAAATAATAAGCAAAAACTTAAGATTCTCCAGGTCGTCTATATCAAAAGCAACCAACCAACACACATTTAATTACTCTCTTTACATTGGGACCCTTGTTTAAAAAAAACCCATCCAGACACACACCATAGTTACAACTGATAAGTTTTAAATTTTAAATAATTATAACAGAGCGCATTCACGCGTTTTATCAAAAATCACCATCACTCAGATCATAGTTATAATATAATATATAATATATATATTGTCTTTGCAAAACACTCCTGAGGATGATCTCGGAGGAGATCGAAAGTACTTGGGTTAAAAACAAAACAAAAAAACTACGGTTCCTTCCTTAATGAATTTCAACTCAATATCAAGAAGCTAATTATAGATC